ATTAATCTGGAAGAAATGCAATTCGTAACGCTCTTTGCTGTTAGCAACTACGCATAACCAATCATGTAGATTATTCTTCTTCAAATATTTTTTGGTGAGATATTTCAGATACCTTTTGGGAGAAGGCACCTCAGACATTACAGTCATCCTGCTCTTGCTTCTCTTGATTGTTACAACCCCTCCACCAAGATTCCCAGCTTTTCCGTTCACTTTGATTCTCTCCTAAAGAAACTGCTCAAAATCGGCAGCATCCATGATTCCATCTTTTGCAGGGTGGATGCAGTCAAGGGTAAACTTCAGTACTAGCTTCTTTTTTTGCCCCCCTTCGCCACAAGCTTTTTCACAGGGGCCTTGGCAGCAGCAGAGCCAGAAAGCCCCCATGAACTTTTTTGACAAGGAAAAGGTCATGGTCAAGACAAATCCCTTCTAGGCTTAAGGGGGCAGGACTCGGAGCAGCGGGAGTTCAGAGCAGGACAGAGCAATCTAAGTGTCAGCCTCACGGGGGTGGGGGTTGGGGGGGATGACGGCCTGAAGGAAAGGGATGGGAAAGTCTGCCAGGCAGACCCAGAACAGCAGCACCACAGACAGCCTTTGGCAACTCCAGGCCACAGGGTAACCCACACTCGCCATTGTCTGGCATCCAACCGGCCAGGATGACCGGGAAACGAGCCGCAGGCTGAAGGAGGCCATCTCCTCGACTGACCTCTGTATGCCTTTTTTGGTTGTTGTTAAATTTTTTTCACTTATTTTAAAAACTGGATTAAAGGAAATTAATAAAGGAAAATTTCGCCTACATCAGGTATATTTAGCTCTGTGCTTCTGTCCAGATGAGTATGGATTGGTCCAGGCACCACCCAGTGAAGGAGTTTGCTAAGAGCCAGCTCTAGCAGGGCCCACAGATGGAAGCCTGAGGGTGTCTGTCCATTGCCTAGAAACACCCTCCCAACCCCACAAACCTGGCTGAATTCTCTGAAGCCCTGCTGCTCGGAGCCTTCCTCTCCTAAGGATTCCGTCAGCCCAGGGCCTCCTCTCTCCTGCTTTCCCAGTGGGCAGCTGCTCCCACTGATCTTGGATGGTGGGCAGAGAAAGCACGATACCCCTGAGTAGGGTATTGAGGGAACCCTTAATTGTCTGGCCCAACTGTGAATCTCTGAACTGGGTGCTTTTATGCCCCTTATGTCAGTTAATTCCCACAACCACCTTCTAAGACAGTCCTCCTTGTCCCTGTCTGACAGATAAGGAAATAGAGGCTCTGAAAAGGTAAATAAGTGACCACAGGATATGGACAAGACCCTGATCCATGAGAGGTAATGAAATGGCTAAGCCTTTGGGGTGTATCCTCTTTGTCCACTCCTCAGCATAACCCTGCAAGTTTGTCGTTATTGACCCTGTTCTACAGATGAGAAAACTGGGGTTCAGAGGGGCTGGTGCCCTTAACCATTCCATTCCAAGGCCTGTACCGGTAGAGATGCCAAAAGTCCTGCTTGTCTCCTTAACTGAACTGCGAGCTTGTGGAGAGCTGTGGCTGGGGTCATTCCTCCTGAAGCACCCTACCATGCTCCCAAAGGGGCCCCAACGGGTTGAATGAAGGGGGTCCTACTGTGGGCCTTGAGGCAGGACGTGGCTCTTGCCCTTGATGGTTGCACATTCCTGCCCCCTGAGCCCAGCTGTTTGTCCCTCCTTGGCTTGGAAGGTCAAGGCCTAGACGTCCTGCCTCCCAGGTCCAGCAGAAAGGATGGCTTTATACAGATCTGGTGTTAGCTGCCACCCACACCTGCCTCTCCTCAAAGTGAGGGTGAAGTCCTTCCAGGTCCCTGAGCCACTGGTGCACTATTTCCTGAAGAAAGTTTCCCGTCAGTTAGTGAGGAAATAGTGTACCATCTTGAAGCTGAAATAGGATCTGGAGCCACAAATGAATGTTGAGGGGGGTGGAAGAGAAGGAGAATCAGGGGCTGGCACAGAGCCACTAAAGCCTGGCTCTCCCCAGCTTCTAGTTTTTGGATGGAGATGAGCTTAAGTCCAGGATGAGGGTGTCATCTGCCTAAATGAGGCAGTTTCCTGAGTCCTAAATAACTTTTTGGAGATATAATTTACATACCATACAATTCACCCTTAGGCCCTTAAGAATTTCCCCTCCAGGAGGTTTTCCCGCTTCTTAACTGCCCTGCCACACTCCCTCCATCAGCTCAGCCATCCCAGAGGGAGAGGAAAGCAGAGAGGAGCAAGTTTCCCCAGAAGAGCATTTCTTCAGTGTTGGGATCAATAAACCCGTTTGCTTAAAAGGAACCAGATGATTTCATCCTTGTAATTACAAGTTTGACGTTTGCAAATCTTGCCCAGGCTCCAAATGAGCCTCTTTGTCATGGGAGGTGGAGGAGTTTGTCTGGATGGCTGGGGTTGGGGACTGAACCTGGTGTGGTGCGAAGAGGGCCAGGCTGGTGTCAGGGGGCCTGGCTGACCATCTGTGAGGGCTGCTGGACTGCTCCCCTTCCCCTCCCCTACTCTCCAAGTTTCTGGAGGGTGATGGGAAACAGACTACACTAGGGAACTGGAGAATGCGGTGCTCTAACCACAGCGCCCTCCTGCTTAAACCCCTCCCCCAAGTCTCCGGTCTGCCTATGGCTGAGAGGCAAAGTCCCTCAGCCCAGCATTCGTGATCCCCTGACAGTCATTACTTTCCTTCCTAATCCCATCTCCCATCATTTCTCCCCATGGCACCCTGTAATCCAGCCACACTGGCCTGCCTGCGTTTCCCACATGCCTCGGTGCCTTTGCTCTAACTGTTCCCTCTACCGAGCATGACTTCCTCCCTCTTCTCTGCTAGGAAAACTCATACTTTTTCTTTAAATATGAGTTCAGGGGCCTTTGATTGTCCTCTGCAGAGTGACTGCACCACAGTGTCACCTCATTCTCTCCGTTGTGTCCATTCAATATGCCAGGGAGATGGTCAGCACACCTAGGACACAGCAGTACCCTCGGTTCTGGAAGGAGTTGGCTCCCCACTAATTTGTGTTTATTTTACTTCTGTGCAGGCTTCATGTGAGTGTCTCTCACTCCACCCTTACATTTCGTTTTAATTATTTAAAACTTGTGTGTATTTATTGTAGAAAATTTAGGAAATATAGGAAAAGAAGAGAGTCCACCACTTCAAAACAATCACTGCTAACATTTCAGTATATTTTCTTTGGCCTCTTTCTATCCACATTTCTTCACCCAGCTATGACATTCTATATGTACAGTTTTGAATGTTCCATTATGACCTAACCCTATGACATAAGTATTTTCCCACGTAATCATATAAAACTCCTAATGGCATCTTAGCTGATCCCCTGTTGTCGGACATCTATTTAGGTTGTTTCCCATTATTCACTGTTATAAAATAAGGCTTCTGTGAACATCGTGGTGCTTAAGGCTTTTTCTTAAAAGTTTTGGATAGTGTTTTTAGGGTCAGTTTCCAGAAATAGATCCACTATGTCAAAAGACACAGGCATTTTAAGCTTCCTGATACCTGTAGCCAAATTTCTCTTTGGCACTGCCTCTTCTCTCTTCTTGAGTCTTAAAAATCTGTTCCCTCCTCCCTCCATTTCTCTTCTCACTATCTCAGACACAGGAAATGCCAACCAAGAATAAACCAAGACCTGCAGAGAGAGATCAATGGATCAATAAGGCAGGTTGAATAATTCAACACTCAGTTCTGGCTCATTCATCAACTCTTGAGTCCAAATGCATCCTCTTTTACCATCTCTCCTTTTGTCTCTCTGCTGATACCTTGACACCTTGCTCTGTTCTTGGATTCTTTCCCAAATTTGACAGGCTCTAAACCATCCTTGCAGGCAGGGCTTCCCATCATGCTGTAACATTGCCTTATAAATAGGCAGACAGAATTACTAGCCAATGTCCACCTCACCGGCCTGCTTTCCCTCTAGGAACATGAGGAATAATTAATAAAGCAGACAATAGCCCTCTTCCTCTAGATGACACTTCTGAGTGAGTGGTCAAGGAGTTCAGCTTCAGACTGTTCCAGCCCTGCCTAACTTCCTCTGTTTAGCTTGCTTCTTTCCCCTTCTCAGCCAAGCAAATTCATACTCTTTCATTAAATGTGGGTTCAGAGGCCTCTGAGAAATCTTTCTCAACTGTGCTGGGCAGAATGACTGCCCCATAGCATCCCCTCACCAACGCCTGCCCTGGAGGCTAAATGCAACCTCCTCAAGGACACCTCACAGTCTTGGTAGCTTCCCCAGCCCCACCTTATGCTAACTTCATCTTGCTCCCTCCTGCCCAAGGGGAGCTCCCAGCATGCCTTGCAGCTTGAGTAGTGTTGGTGATTAACATGGACACAGAGATGCACCACCCAGATCCCTCTTCAGTGAAGGACTTGTTACCCCAGCAGCTGGGATGCTCTTATCCCCCTCAGGGATTTCCTGAGCTGCAGAGAGCTACCTGCAGGTCACTCTTCCTTCCTGGGCAGCTCACATCCAATGACTGATCAAGATGGGATTGTAAAGGCCCAGCAGGGCAATGCTGATGGGTCATAATAGCTCTAAAGCTCCCCGTGGAGTCAGCTGAAGCTGTTGTTGGGCCTGCAGTGGAGCTTGGCTTCTCCCTCCACCCAGTTCTGCTTCCTTCCTCTCCCATCAACAGGTTCTGATCCCAAGGGCACTCCTTAAAAAACAGCCTGTGGCACTTCCCTCGTGGCACAGTGGTTAAGAATCTGCCTTCCAATGCAGGGGACACAGGTTTGAGCCCTGGTCCGGGTGGATCCCATGTGCCGCGGAGCAACTAAGCCTGTGCGCCACGACTATTGCACTCTAGAGCCCACGAGCCACAACTACTGAGCCCGTGTGCCACAACTACTGAAGCCTGCATGCCTAGAGCCCGTGCTCCGCAACAAGAGAAGCCACCACAATGAGAAGCCCACGCACCACAATGAAGAGTAGCCCCCACTTACCACTAGGAAAAGCCCACGTGCAGCAACGAAGACCCAACGCAGCCTCAAAAAATAAATAAATTTATTAAAACAAAACAAAACAAAAAACAGCCTGAAGGTAAAGCTTCCTAGAGAGCTCAGCAGTGACAAAGAGTGATTCCCAAGCAAGCTTCACTCAGTGCCATATCCCTTACTTTACCTGGGCCTGTCCTGAGCTAGATCCTGCCCAATGAGATGCTGTGGGTAAGCCTTCTTTATAAATATGTTTTAATGTCTTAGGTTTTATTTTTAAAAGTGTTAAAAAACTGTTTTGGAAGAGATATGAGCCATTTTGGGACAATGGTTGTCTGGTATGAGCTGAGATTCCTCCTTTGTATAATATGCACACTACATAACATTTGCTTTAGTACAAGCAATTTTCCAAACACTTTCTCACTGGACTCTCCCAAGGTAAGGAGGGAAGGAATGACTGTCCTATTTTGTAGCTCAGAAAATTGAGACTCACAACAAGTGATTGATTCTTCTAAGGGCATGTGGCCAGGTAGCTCCAGAGATCCCAGGAGAGCAAAGGAGTCCTGAAGTTGAAGAAATTCAGTCCTTTCAATCTTTGTCAGAGCAACCTGATGTCAGAGATATTTAGTGACTTGCCTGAGAACCCAGAGCTAGCTGGTTCCTCAGATTTCTAATAAAAAAATTGAGGACAGAGACATCTACTCATACTTGTCAAGGCTGTTTTGGCTTCAAGTGACAAAAACCCAATTAAAACTAACTTCCACAAAAAAAGGGAATGTATCAGTTCATTTAATTGAAAATTCTTGGTTCAGGCATGGCTAGATCCAGGTGTTCAAGCACTGAAACCAGAAATCTGTCTCTGTCTCTCTTTCTGTCTCTGTCTGTCTGTCTCTCTTTCTCTCGGTCTCTTTGTTATGTTTTAGCTTCATTCACATGCTGACTCACCTTCAAGAGGTAAGGACTACTCTTTCCTGATATTCCCACAAAAATCTTGGGATTGACTTTAATAGGCCAAATTTGGGTTACGTGCTCATCCCTGAAGTGTGGACACTGTGAATCTCTGTGGACAGGGTGATGTCATAGGAAAAGGAAAGGATATACTGGGCAGCCAAAAACATCTGTACAAAGTGTCTGACACAAAGTTATAAACTCTCAAAGCATGGTGGCTATGACAATCTTTAAGGTCCTTTCTAGCTATGAAATTCTAGGATTTGTACAACTTCATACTTTGATAAAAATCCAGCTGTAAATGTTGGCCATCAAGGGAAGAACTGGATAACAACTTGAGTCCATACAAGGTCCAGTCAAAATATCATAAAATGAGGTGGCTTCCTTGGCCATCAAGGGAAGAACTGGATAACAACTTGAGTCCATACAAGGTCCAGTCAAAATATCATAAAATGAGGTGGCTTCCTTGGCCATGCAGTGGTTAAGACTCCATGCTTCCACTGCAGGGGGCGTCGGTTCGATCCCGGGTCAGGGAGCTAAGATCCCACATGCCTCACACTGTGGCCAAAAGAAACCCCCTCAAAAAAAAAAAACAAACCATAAAATGAACTAAGAAGGGCCTGAAAAAGGAAGCTGGCTTAACAAGGCTGGGGAGTTAATGATCTCCTACAGCAGAGGATAGCTGCCTGTGGTGTACCTCCTTTTGTAGCTGAGCCAGAGACAGTGGCAGTGCCAGGGTCAGAGTGGCCCTGGAAGGGATTCCCTGTGGCTCTGGGGTCTGCTACATCCATAGCCCCTTCAAAGGATTCTGCTTCACATAATCTGGCTGGCCTGGTGGCCGGACCAGTTCTGGGAGCTGAAGGTAAACATGGACAGGCTGGAGGGGAGGACGGAGCTGCAAAGACTGTCCAGTGTGGATGCTTTGGGTTAGGTGGTAACCAAGAGATCCCATCAGAGCCTTCTCTGAGGCATGGGTGTTGTACTTGTGCGTGTAGGTGGCAAGTTCAGAGGAGGTAGGACATGGAGCTCAGGTAACATCCTGGGACTCATTCACACTGTAAACCAGGTAAATGATGCTCCCTGGAGGTGTGTCTTGCAACAGCTCTTCTGGCTTCCATAATACCTGGAAGTGGGAGGGAGGTCTGTGCCACCAGAATGAGGTCCACATCCAGATTGTTTCCCTGCTGCCTTGGTCCCACTACCAAGAGTTGTTTGGATATGGTTCCATCCTCCCTCTTCGAAAAGTTATTCTTTTCCCAGATATGCTGAGTATTATAGATGTATTGGTCACCTAGAAGGCAGGCAAGGTCAGAACTCCTCCTGGCAGAGAGGATCAGAGAGGCCCACCGAGTGTCTGAGATCACAGAGCAGAAGGAACAGTTGTATTCAATCCCAAGTCCCCTGTCCATCAGCAGCCTTTCCTAGCACTGTAGAATCCCATGATTCAGGAGCAAAAAACTCATGGTGGTGTCCCCACCAGATAATGAGAGCCCCAGCAACAGGGCCAGCGTTTTGGAGTCTTGGGTCTGGGGTCTTTGGAAGGCCCTGGAAGCTACTAGTCCTTCCCTCAGGCCAGAAGAGCTGCTCCTTAGGCAAGAGACATGAATCAGCACCAGGAGCCTCTGTCAGCTTTTGATGAATTTTCCCGCCACTAGTGCTAATTTCCTGAAAGGCTTTTCTTCCACCTTCAGGCTCCCCTTCAAAATGGTCCTGGCTCCTTCACAGTAGAAGATACGTAATGGTCACCCAGTGACCCCTTGGTGAAGCCACAGGCATGCTCCTCCATAGCACCTACGGCTGAACAGGCTGGGAGTAGACAGGAGTCCTGGACCGTAGCTGGAAGGGCCCGGGGCTGGAGCAGTGTCCTACCCCAGAGATTGCTCCCAGTGCACTGAAGAGTGGAAACCAGACCTAGATAGGCAAGTGGCTTGCTTGAGGACACACACAGCAGAACAAGCCCAGACAGGAACACACAGCTCCCAAACTCTGCCTAAAAGAGATATGTTGACCTCTGCTCCGTGAGGCCACCTGCTCTCAGCCTCTGAGTTCTTTCAGGGCTCACGTGGACCTTCCTCCCCTTCTGATTTGCTCCACGGACAAATAGGCCCAGACTCAACCCCCTGTGGCCATGGAGCTATTGTTGCAATGATAGAGGGTCAGTGGCAGGAGGCTGCAGTACTATCTTGATTAGCTTATGCAGGGGGAGGGGGCGTGGAGGGGGGAGCTTCCTCAGCAACACCTGGCCCTGCCTGTGCCCTCACCTTGGACTGCACTCCCTCTTGGGGCTTTTCCTGGTCCCACTTGGTTGGGGCAGAGATACCCCAGGCCCTGCGGAGGGTTCACATGAGTTCCCAGGCTGGGCTGGGTGGGAGAGCTCTGAGCCAGGGGCCCACCTGTGGATGGGGGAGAGGGGGTGTTCAGAGTTGACCTCGCTCATCTGCTTTATGAAATTGTTTGCTCTGTTCCATGTCCAGAACTCACTGTCCAGTTCTGCACCACCCTCCCCTGGCCTCCCCACTTCTTCCCTCTCCTCCTCCAGTTGCTCTGTACTCTGTAACCTCCTGGAAGATAAGCCTGACCAGGACATGTCCTTCCCATGGCTCCCCAGTACCTCAGTGTAGAGGCCATGCTCTCTCCCAGGCTTACAGGACTGGTCCTCCAGCTCTGGGCCTGGTTCCTCTTTTAGCCGTTATGTGTGGGCCAAAATGACGCAGAACTGTTGGGATGGAACAGGCTAATTCCTGCCTCCAGGCCTGTCTTTCTGCTGCACCTCTGATGCAGCTCCCCCTCCCTCTCCACCTCCATCCCCTCCTGTCTTTCCTACTGGTCCTTTCAGGTGCTCCTCCTGGAAGCCCTCCTGACACCCCAACCCAACCCAAGATAGGTCATCCCTGTGCTCCCACAGCCTTTCCAGATGACCCTTTCTATCATGCCCCCAAGGGCCTCCGCAGTCAGACAACTGAGATGAGAAACAGGGCCCACTGCCCCCTTCTGAGTGCCCAGGTACTGCCCTTCTCCAGCCTGGACAGCCCCCGGCACTGCCCTGGCTCTCTGTCCATTTGCTTGTCTGGGCGTGTGTCCACCTGCTTCTGTTTCTTTCCTCCACTCCCTGGCTTTCTCGGCAGATCGTTCCACAGCCTCTTTCACCTGTCTCCGTACCTTTCCTCATGCTTTAATTCAATACGCTGTCATCTCATTCCACAAAGGACCCAAGGTGCTATCTGTGTCATTGTCTCCCTTCCTCACTCAGTCCCCATGCCCCAATTTCTCAGTTTTCCCCCCTGCCACACACACAGCTAATGAGCTTGGTACGGAGAAAGGGGAATTCTCACTCCCTTAGAAGTGATCCCTTCTCCCTCACAGGAAGTCTGGCCCACCAGGGCCTGAGTGAGGTTCTAGGGCACAAGGCAGGCCCCCAGCCCTTCCCTACCAAGGCCAGACCTGAGTGGGGGGGTCACAGGGAAAAAGCCACCCTGAACCCCACACTACTGCATCCAGGACTGGTCAAGGGACTCAGCACCTCTAACCCAGCCCCTTGTGGCACAGGTGGGGGAAACAGAAGTATCCTGCAGTAGATCTCTTTGGTGAACCCCATTTGCGAACCTTCCTGCCAAACCCTTCCCCACTGCTTCTTCCCTTCCTCAGCCTCATCCAGTGTGTCCTGGGCTTAGGCCCACCTTGTCCCTCAGTACAGGGCTCAAGTGTGTCCAGCTTGGGCCGAAAAGGAGTCAGTTGGGGGAAGGGGAAGCCCTGAAGTGGTAATGCCTGCCCCTTTCCTTCACCTGAAGTCTCCCTGGACTGCAGAGTTTCCATTAGTTTGGGATCCCAGCCAAGCCCCTGGAGCTTCTGCCCACAGCCTGAGGGCTCCTGGAGGGCAAGACTGATGCCTCTTGGGTCTCCCAAAGCCTACAGGTGGGTGAGGCAGGTTGTGCAGGGCAGGGACCAAGCGGAGGAAGTCCATGCATTCATGCATCGGTGAAAGAGACCTGTGGCCCGGCACTGCCCACCCACCCTTCTGCCCACCTCCTCTTGCACGGGAGCATTAATCAAGCACAAGCCGAGGCTTTCTAAAGCCAGGTCCTGCTAAGGCTTCCAAAAGGGAACTGCTCTGGGCTCAGCCAGCCTAGGCCAGAGCTTCGGAGGTCCCGAAGTCAAAGGACCTTGAGGCTGTAAGAGGGCCTCCCCCACCCTCCCCCACCCCCACCCGCCCGCCGCTGCGCCGCTGCAGCCCGCCTGCCTGGCTATTGAAGAAGGCAGGCGCCGGGGCGCAGGCCGTCGGGGGTGCAGGAGCCCTCACAGGGAGGGAGGCCCCCGTTCCGCTCACCCCCACCACCCATCGGTGGCGAGTTGCAGCTCCCGGCGCCCTCGCGTCCGCCCGGGCTCTGGCCCCACGCCAGGCGCCTGGATCCATCACTGCAGTTGGCTGGAGGCCGGACGGCGCGTCCCCCGGGGCTCCCAGGCGGCTGGCGCTGTCTGCCGGGCAGGGAAGGCGGCGGCGGCGGCGGCGCTGCGGGGCTGCGGTCAGCGCGGGCACAGCCGAGGGGCTGCGTCTCCCGCACTAATTGGCCCTTCCCCAGGCGCCACGGCCGGTGATTGCTGCTTCAGTGGGTGGGGATCTCGGGGTGTTGGAGGAGAGGAAGGGTCGAGCTGAGCCGCAGGGGCCCGCAGGAGACGCGTGTGCGCGCCCGCTTCCTAGGCCAGCTTTGCAGCGGTGCGCCTCCGTGCTCAGAGTGGCCCGGGCGAGCCGAGGTAAACTTGGAGAAAAGCCACAGAATTGTCCTGGGGTCTTCACCAAGATCTAATCAGTTCTGAGAACCGCTCCCTGCCTGGTAGGGTCTGGCAGGGGATTTAGGAAGGACTCTGGGTGGCCATCGGGGGATCCCAGCGAAGGCATGAAGACAGGGTGGAGACAGGGCAGTGGGTAGCCCTCTCCAACCCCCTCATCCAGGAGTGCCATCCGCGAGGAGCAGACAGGAAGAGAGGTACCCTCCGGGGCGGATGGGGAGGGTATGAGGCAGGGACGATGGGAGGCAGGGGCCCAGCTCACCATCCAGGCTGCCTACCAGAGTTCTTGCTTGAATTCCTAGAGAAGGTCCTAGAGTTTCCCAGAGTCCTTTATGATCCTCACAGCTGCTGCAGCCTGACTGGCTTCCGCTCAGCTGCTCTCCCTCTAATTTGGGGAAGAATAGCTTCTGGGTGGCTGTTTGGAGAAACTCCCTTCCCCAGACCTGTGTGAGAAAGCCTGAGGAGGGGAGAACTGAGGGACCCTCAGAAGCAGGTCTGGACCAGCCTGGATCCTCAGGGCAGAATGTCCCCTGTAGGCACTGGGGTGAATCAAGCCCAGCTAAACCTCAGCCGGGTGATGAAGTGATGAAGACTCTGAGCACTGCGGTGCCACTCTGGGAAATGGCCTGATGGAAGAGACCCCAGGCTAGGGGTGATGTCACCTGCAGGGGTGGGGAGAATTGCACCCATGAGATGCAAAAGTGGGGACCACTGGCCATGGCTGGGCAGCCTGAAGGCACTCAGAGAGGGCAGAAGCTGGGAGGGAGTCAGGAGTTCTGGGCTGGAGTCCTAGACCTAGAGCCAGTGCCGTCCTGTCTCTGGGCATCCTTGTTCTGGTCTGTTCAACGGGCCCCAGGGGTCCCAGAGGGGATCTAGTGTTGTTATAGTGGTTCTGCTGGTGTAACAACCAGAAAGGGCCTCCCTCTGCTGCTGGGCTAGCAGTGTGGGAGAGGGGGCCATATGCTTCCCAGGGCCCCAATTATCTGCACTGATAGCTCTTAGCCTTTCTCTGCTGCCCAAGTTGGAGGGAACAACCATATCTGAGACCCCCATCCTGTCCCTTGGGCACCTCAGACTTCATGTGCCCAAAACTTGCTCCAGCCACACCCTATCTGGGTGTTGTCCCTTACCCATAGCATCCACCTAGCCCCAGGGGCCTTCCCTCTATCCTCTGGTCATCCGTATGCTGCAGCTGCCCCTGTCCTGTCCACTTGGCCTCCTGCATCACTCTGCAGCCATCCTCTACTGTCCATCCTTTCTACCTCTATTTCAGAAACAGCCCCCATTAGATATGCCACCCCCCACCCCAAGCTGGTCTCCAAGCCTCTGCTTGTGCTTCTTTTTAACCCAGTTCCAGCAGACTGAGCCAACTCTAAATGCACATCTGATTGTGTCACTCCCCTGCTTAAAATCTCCCCCTGCTTGGGACTTCCCTGGTGGCGCAGTGGTTAAGAATCCACCTGCCAATGCAGGGGACACGGGTTCGAGCCCTGGTCTGGGAAGATCCCACATGCCGCGGAGCAACTAAGCCCGTGCGCCAAAACTACTGAGCCTGTGCTGTAGAACCCGCGTGCCGCAGCTACTGAAGCCCGCGCGCCTAGAGCCCGTGCTCCGCAGAAAGAGAAGCCACCACAATGAGAAGCCCACGCACTGAAATGAAGAGTAGCCCCCACATGCAGCAACAAAGACCCAATGCAGCCAAAAATAAATAAATAAATACAAGACTTGACCTTTAAAAAAAAATCTTTCCCTGCTCTCCAGTGCATTCTCAATAAAGTTGCTTAACTTCTCTGGGCCTCACTTTCTTCATCTGTAGAGTGGAGAAGACTTCTCTTTTTGCAGAGGGAAGAAAGGGAATACTCTTCTTTTTGGATTGTTGAGGTTATTAACAAATGAATACACCTAAGGTGCTTAGAAGAGTGACCAGCACATGGAATGTGCTCCAGTGTTTGAGCATTATTATTGTGGCCCACAAGGCCTTGTGTGATGTGGTCCCTGCTCACTGCCCAGCCACATGTCCCTCACAGGGCACCTGACCTTACACCCACAGTACAGGAACACTCCAGGTCAGTGGTACCCCAGGAGTCAGGGGCAAAGCCCAGTCTCTAACCCAGGCCTGACTCCCAGGCCTGGTCGGTGGCCCCAACCCTGCCCAGAGGGCAGATGGGGGGCTCTGTTTCAGGCATAGAGCTCTGGGGGAACGTGGAGGGGCAGGAGGTGCTGGGTGATCTTTATGGCCCACCACATCCATAGTGTTAGCATTGCCCTTCCTGGGCTGGCTTGGTTTTCTCATCAGTGCTCCCTGAATGTAATGGACATCCTTGGCTGTGCGGGGCGTACCCATGGCAGGGGTGAGGGCAGGTCTGTGGACCGGAATGTTCTTGCACATGCAAATCTTCACACGTATCTGTGCAGAAACCGTAGGCCATGCGGGCCTGCGTCCCTGCTTTGGTCTATCTGAGTACTGCACTCACCAGTCCCGAGATGCACATGGCCCCTGATGACAGGCCAAACAAGGTCACCCAACCTGGGTCTCCGCCGAAAGGCTGCGATGTTCTTCGGCACCCAGCGCAGAGCTGCAACCTGGTCCAGCGGCGCCCAGTTCCCGCGGGCCTGGCTATCGCCTGTGCTGAGCGCGCGGGGCTCACGATCAGGGTCCGGAGCCCCGACGCTTGGGTACTGGGGGCCCCCGCCTCGCCCCCTGTGTCCCTCAGAGACTGGGTCTTACCACCGCATCTCCTTCCTTATAATTGGGCACCGCCCCATTGAGGCGGTAGCAAGCACCTGTCTGCTCCAACAAGCATTAGACCATGCCCCTGTCACGCCCCTCACGCGGACACGCCCCATAGGGCGTGCCTCTTTCCTTCCGCCCAATCCTCTCCTCCCCCCTCCCTGAGCCCAAGTCCAGAGGAGGCCCCGCCCCTGGTCCCCGCCTCGGGTTCCCGGCCCCGCCCACCTAAGGAAGCCCAGGACACCGAGGCTGTGGTGCAGAAGCACTAGCACCACTTTCTCCCGGGGTGCCAATTTGGAGCCATCATACGTGGAAGCGGAGCCCACGAGGAAGGCGTGTCCTGGGAACCAGACCATCACCTGGGCGAGAAGGGCTGAGGCCTGAGCGGGACAGTGGGGTGCTTGAGTGGGATGGTGCGTGGTTGAAGGCTGAGTACTCACAGGCAGCAGAGGGTCCTCGAGCGCTCCTACTGGCGCGCACACATTCAGGTACAGACAGTCCTCACTGAAATGCAGCCACTTGTATTTTTTGTGTGTGTTGAAGTACATGGAGGTGATCTGCCCCCAGGACTCCTGAAGGCACCTGTGGGCACGATGTGAGTTGGGGCCCAGCGCTGCAAGAATAGTGGGGAGAGTGGTTTCAACCCAGGTTCTGCAGTGAGGGGCCAGAACCCAAAGCAAAATCCAGGCAATATGTGTGTATGTGTGTGCGTGTGTGTATCCGTGTCCTAGCAGCCTTCACTAACGTTAGGTCCAGGGATGGGAGGCAGGTTGGCACCTGCTGCCTGTGCCTTGCCTTATGGGTCTGCCTGGGGAGCGGTTCCCTGCTCCTGCTGGAGACACATTGGTGCTGTCAAGCCATAAACCTGGGTGCCCTGGGCACCTCGTTTCCTTCATGCCCTGTCCTCCGCTCAGTCTCTGTTCTGCCTCACAAACAACCTTTGAATAGGCCCCCTCTGTCCATCTCAGGGCTGCTGCCCTGTGAAGGCCACCACCACTCTGGCCAGGACTCTGCCCCTGCCTCTTCATCTCCCCTGCAACTCATCCTCCACATGCTGGCCAGAGAGATTGATAGACAACACAAATCTGACCACGTCATTCCCCTCGTCATTACCTTCCCTGGCTCCTCCTGCCCTCATGCACCCACACTGACCTAGGCCCTCCTTTCCATCTAGTCATGTCCTTCCCAGCCATTCTTTGTTCCAAATACACATGACCCCTTGCCTCTCACCTGCAAGCCCCTGTACTTCTGTTCTGTCTACCAAATGCCTTCTCCTCTGCCCAGCAAACTCCTACTCACATTTAAGGTCCAGCTTAAGTGGTGCCCCCTCTGCTGGGCACTTTCCCCTCTGTGCTTCCCAAAGCTCTATCCACCATTGACTACAATACTGGGTTGGAGTTATTTTGATTGGTTGTTTTTACTCCCAAAGGGCAGGGATGTAGGTGTATTCATCTGATTCCTGGCACTTGGCCCTGTGCCTTGCACTGTGTGGACATCTGGTATACTTATGGAGCTTAGGCTATTGGTCCACCTTGCCTTTTCTCCCTGCTGGCCCAGCCCTGAGGGTGGCTATTCTTATAACAGCTGGGGCTGGGCCCATTTGACTGAATGCAGGAATCCCTGTCTACCTATTCCTCTGTTCCTTTCTCTTGTCCCAGCCTGTCTTCAGTGTGTGTATGTGTGTGTGAACGTAGGTGTAATCCACTCCCACCTCCCTAACCCTAGAGCATCACCTGCTCCCTTTCAGTCTTCCCAACAGCACTTCAACATACCTTGGTCCAAACCTATCCTCTACCAGCCACCTTCTCCAACAACTATGCTATCTCTCTCTTCCCCTCAAGGCCAAATGTTTCAACAAGTTGTCCTTCCCTCGCCCCCACCAGCTGCTCCACGGTCACCAGCAGGCAGCTTGTCTCTGGCTCTACAGATTGTCTTCGGCCTTCCTTGCTTGACCTCTTGGCAGGAGCTAGTGTCGTTAGGATGCTGTCCAATAAATCACATGCAGCATCCCAGCAGGAAAGCCAGGCCTCTTACAGCCTAGAACAGGGGTTATAAGCATTTGAGGCATCTGTCCCCAACCCGCCACCAAAGCCATTTTCGTCCAGGTCACCAGTGACTTCCATCTTGCTGAATCTCTCTCATCATCTTACTTGCCCTGGTAGCCCCTCTATATGGTTGACCACACTCTCCTTCTTGAACAGCTTTCCTTCTCTGGGCTTCTGTAATCCCACTCTCCTGACTTTTCTGCCACCTCACACTTCCTCTTCTTCCTGGCCTAAGCTGGAGAGCGCCCCAGGCCTCAACCCTCATTTCTCTTTTCATGCTGATTATTCTTTCCTGAGCTGCTGTCCTTCAGGCCTAGGGCTCCACACTGTTAACCTGCTGATGCCCAGTCTCCTTCCAGCTCCATTTATCCAGACTACCTACCCCACATCTCTACATGGATAACTATCAGATATGTCAAACTTAACATGCCCCCAAATGAACTCTTGTTTTGCCCAAAACTGCTCTTGATCTAGTCTTCTCCATTTCAGTAAATTGTACCTCTATTCCCCTTGCTGCTCTGCCCTGAAACCAGTTTTTATCCTTGATGATTATTCTTCCCTCGTGGCTCACATCCAATTCTCTAGCAAATCCTGTCAATTTTACCTTCAAAATAAATCTGGAGCCTGACCACTCCCACCACCTCCACTGTAACTACTCTGGTGGAAGCCACCATCTCTGTAACAGCTTCCTCTCTCCCTGTTCCCCACTTAATTGCCACCCCACAGTCTGTTCTAAGCCATCCACACATTCTTACACCTAACACTCTGTGTTCCGAACAGCCAGTGTCTGACAGCTCATGGCCAATGTTCCAACAACTGACACCCAGACTCCTATGCAAGGGACACCCCAATCTCTAAACCCCCGATCCTCAGGGTTCTAACAATGGTTATTCCATGTTCTGTCACCTGATCCGTGCAGTTCCAAATAACAGTCACACAATGTTCAGAATACCTTGGTTTCTCTTAGTGATGGCCAGTGTTTTAACAACCAACATGCCAGTGTTCTAGTAACAGTCAATCATGTTCTAACAGTGGACACCGTGTTTTTGGGCTTCCCTGGTGGCGCAGTGGTTGAGAGTCCCCCTGCCGATGCAGGGGACGGGGGTTCGTGCCCCGGTCCGGGAAGATCCCACATGCCGCGGAGCGGCTGGGCCCGTGAGCCATGGCCGCTGAGCCTGCGCGTCTGGAGCCTGTGCTCCGCAACGGGAGAGGCCGCAACAGTGAGAGGCCCGCGTACCACAAAAATAAAAAATAATAATAAAAAAATAACAGTGGACACCGTGTTTTTAACAACTAGACATCCAGTGTGGTAGTTGTAGTTTTCTATATCACCTGACACCCAGGTTCTCACAGTAGACATTTTTCTAAAGCCAATACTTTATCCAACTGATGCTGAACACTGTTAATGTTCACCACAGAATGTTCTGGACAGTGGGTTACTCAATGGTCTATGTAAACAGTAAATACACTTGTTCTTGGTAAACTGCCAAGTCCAGTGCGTCAAAGGGCAGCCATTGTCCCAACATGCTCATGTGATTCAGGGCTTGAGCCCAGCTAGAGGTTGCACTGAGACCCTGGGACATTAAAACTGAAACTGAGCCCATGCCCTCCCCATTTTGGCCTCCTTCTGCAGGGAAGGGCTGGTGGTGCCACATGGGCTTGTTCTTAGGTTCAAGCACCAAGGAAGAGGGAAGAGCTCAGGGTTCACTCTGTGTGTGTGTGTGTGTGTGTGTACTGCTCCTCACACACATTTAGGGAAACTCAGCTCCCCAGCAGGTCCTGGGGGCACAGTCAGTATGCACCTCCTCCTTGCCTGGAGCTCTCGCATGAGAGAATCAAGAACAGCATTATTAGTGCCTTAAACACCATCTGGACCAGCCACTTCATTATATAGGTTTGGAAACTGAGGCCCAGAATGGTTGCCAGGACTGCCTGTGGCCACACAGAGCACCCTTTTCAGTGGGTTGTTCAAACCCCGGCCCAGAGGCAGGCATAGGTTCACCGCCTTCCTCAGGGTCTGCCCACCTCCCAGGGGACAGTCCTCTGGCTCTTACATTGGGGCACAGGTGGTAGCATCTCTGATTCCTTCCCAGGACTCTGGGGGTTCTGGGGCAGTGAACCTGCAGGCACCCACAGGAGGTCTGTAGAAGGGAACTCCTAGGAAGGCATTGATGGGTGTCTTCCCCACGTGTACCTGCTTTCTTGGAGGGTCCCATATTTGGTAACCACTAGAGGCTCCTTGGTATGCAAGGCACCTAGGAAGAGAGAAGAAGGGTCACCCTGGACACCGAAAACACCTTGGCCCATCTGCCACGGGCACCAGCACCAGCTTGAAGCTTTTCACAATTGTGTATTTGTCTTCTTTTTCTGTGTTCCTCTTAGTATTTTTCTCTATCGTTATTTGATTTAAGATTTCAAAGTTATGTTGGTAGATGCATAAAAGTTCATGTCTGTTATATGAATACTTTCCCGTTGGTCATTTAATGTATCATTTAATGTCAATAAATGTGTCATTTATTTTGATTTCTGTTTGTCTGATATTGGTATGACTATATATCTTTCTTGTTGCTAACATCTGCCTGGCATTTTTCTGGGAAGAAATCACACACATATATGCATTCTCACACATATATCCACACTCACATTAATATTTACATGTACACGCAAATTTATACACACATGGGTATATATGAGCACAGCTCATTTACAAAAAAAAAAACATGGGGAAACACAAGAGTTAAATGCGTGCCCAGGGCTTCCCTGGTGGTGCAGTGTTAAGAATCCATCTGCCAATGCAAGAGACATGGGTTCGAGCCCTGGGCCGGGAAGATCCCACATGCCGTGGAGCATGCCTGGCTCCACAACCACTGAAGCCCGAGCGCCTAGAGCCCATGCTCCACAACAAGAGAAGTCACGACAATGGGAAGCCTGCGCACCTCAACGAAGGGTAGCCCCCACTCACCGCAACTAGAGAAAGCCCGCGCGCAGCAACGAAGACCCAACACAGCCAAAAATAAAGTTAAAAATTAATTAATTAATTAATCTTTAAAAAATGTGTGCCCACATGCATATAAGTATAGTTATATATAGGTTACAATGTATCCATATGTAGCATACATTCACATCTGTACACTACAAGCATACCTACACCATAGCTAGCTCTTGCAAGGGATACAAACTACACCAAGTTGAATTTAGACTCTGCCAATGGACACCTCTTGTTCTACGCCCTCACCCTGCCTCGCTCCTGTTGCTGAGGGTTGCTGAGACCTCACATTTGTTGCCCCTTCCTGAAGCACCCCTGTCCTTTCTTTCTCCTCCTCCCCATTTATCAAAACTGAATTTTTTGGGAATTCACTGGTGATCCAGTGGTTAGGACTCTGCACTCTCACTGCCGAGGGCCCGGGTTCAATCCCTGGTCAGGGAACTAAGATCTCACAAGCCACATGGAAAAAAAACAAAACAAAAAAAACACCTGAATTTTTCTGTGCCCTGGTCCCCTGGAGGCTCACTCTGCAAAGTGACAGAAGGCAAATCTGATCCAAATTTTATTGAACTTGATTGTGCATGAGAATCACCTGGGGGAATCATTGGGAAATTCAGATTCTTAGGTACCCCCTACACCCTCTGAAAGGGAATCTCAGGTTGCATCAGGAAATTAGATTTACAACCCTCTCTAGGAGACTTTGATGCAACTGCTTTTTGGAACAGCATTTGGTATTGGTGTGGTAAGAACACGCCCTCACACCCCAGCTGCAGGTGGCCAAAAATACCTCTCTGCCCACATCCCCAGGTCTCTACTGGTCTTACATAAGCAATATCCAGGCACAAAGAATTGGCTGTAATGGTGGCCCTTCAGGCATGGAGGCAGGTCAGTGGCAGCAAGGGGCCATCTCAAATCTCCTCTGTGTATGTAGCCCTTTGCAATTTACAAAGCCCTTTCACATGGTCCTCTCACATAGGCTTCTCATTTGCCCTGGGAGGAGTGGGGTGAGGCTTGGAGGCCCAGAGATGATCAGTGACCAGCCTGAGGTCTCATAGGACAGAGCCAGGAGGCCAAGGTCTATCATATTACCCAGATTTGCCCTGAATTCTGGGTCCACTTATTGAATAGCCGACGACTGTGATTGACTGAGCCTTGATTATAGCTTGGTGCTGGGCCAAACACTTATGTGCCATTTTACCTCATCCTCCTAAAACATGTATAAGGTAACTGTTACTATGTTCCCACTACACAAACGTGGATGGAAGTTCAAAGAGTTATATAACTTGCCCAAAGTGACACAGAATGGCTCACATCAGAGTTCTGCTCTAAAGAGTAGTGTTTTTTGTTTTTTGTTTTTGTGGTACGTGGGCCTCTTACTCTTGTGGCCTCTCCCGTTGCGGAGCACAGGCTCCGGACGCACAGGCTCAGCGGCCATGGCTCACGGGCCCAGCCGCTCCGCGGCATGTGGGATCTTCCCAGACGGGGGCACGAACCCGCGTCCCCTGCATCGGCAGGCGGACTCTCAACCACTGTGCCACCAGGGAAGCCCAACAGTAGTGTTTTACTGTCCTCACCCCAGCCACTGGGGGCACCTAAGCATGTGACAGAGTGCTCTACACCCCTGAACAGGAGCTGAGGTGGAGTGGTCTCCATCCCAGCTCTGCTATCCAGAGGCAATATGTAAGCACTTATGAAAACAATATTCCACATTTTTAGTAGTCATAAAATGTTAATTAAAACCAGGAGTCACAATTTCCACCTAATAAATTACAAATGATGGCACCCAATTGTGGCAAAGATACAATGAAAAGGACATTCACATATACTGTTAGTGTAGGATAAATTGATACACCACCGCAGGAAAATAATTTGGCAAAATGTATAAGAGCCATAAAATGTTCACATAGTTTTCTGACTATTTTCATAAGGGGTCCCACCCTTATGAAAATAGTCAGAAATGCATTAAAAGAAAGACTTTTATGAACCATAGTCATATATGCTATCGTGAGTACGGGAAGCATTATTTGTATCTGGGGACCAGGCAACATAAATATAACTATAAACTTGTTATAAACTGTTTATGGTATGATTTTAAGTGAATAAAAGCAGAGTATAAAATTGTATGCATGCTAATATCACAACTATATACAAATATGCAATAAAAAAACTAAGAGAAAATGTGCCAAAATGCTAAAAGCGGTTTTAGCGAAGTTTCTCTCAAGTTAAAAAAATTTTTAATGCAGGGACTTCCCTGGTGGTCCAGCAGTTAAAACTCCGGTTCCACTGCAGGGGGCACAGGTTCGATCCCTGGTCGGGGAACTAAGATCATGCATGCTGCGTGATGTGGCCAAAAAAACCATTTTTTAAAATGCATTAATATGGGCAAAACTTATTTATGATAGAGGTCAGAACAGTGGTTACTTTGAGGGTATTGACTGGGAAGGGGCATGTCGGGTGCTGGAAATGTTCTAGATCTTGATCTGGTTGGTGGTTACATGATGGTTTTACACACACACACACACACACACATACACTAATATATATATACTAATACGAATTTTATATAATATTAATTTTATAAAGAATATAAATATACAATCATAAATTATAAACATATAAAATTATGTAAATTATAAGATACATTTTATAAAAATGTAAATATAAATGTCCACACTCCCAGCTCTCTACCACCCATCCTCCCAGACGTCTAAATGTCCCTGCCCTGCTGCCCCCAGGAGAGGTTGAGCTGTTGGCCTGTCCCTCTGTGTGTGAGTATCTATGTTTGGCGCTGGGTATGTACATGCTTGCCTGTGTCTACTGGGAGCATCTACCAGTCCCTTGCCTGGTGGCTGGGTCCAGGTGTGCACGTCTGATCCTGCAGTACCCCCTGGTGCTCACACACTCACAGTGCTCACAGGACCCTTCCTGTCACCCTGCCACGGAGAGGTTCCCTGGGTCTACCAGTCCCTGCCCTGCAGGGCCTGTTCCGTCTGAGTTTGTGGGTGCCCCTGCCTTGCTCCCCTCAGCTCTGTGGCTCTGGGTCCTGGGGCAGGGCCATCGGTGGATGGAGGATGCCCTGGCCGGCAGGGGAGGGGAGTTCCGTGAGTAGTGGCCCAGGGAAAGGAGAATAGAGAGGCAAGAAGACTGGAATCCCAGGAGCACCCCTTGTCTGAGCACTCCCCCAAGCCACTGGGGCCGTGCCAGGCCATTCCCCTCCCTCCCTGTGAGGAGAAAATCCTAGAAGCTGGGGGGAGGAGGAGGAGAGGCAGGGAAAGTTGGCAGTGAGACAGGGTCTGAGGCCTCACCGGCAGGCTTGCCCAACCCCTCAGAGCCCTTTGGCAATGGTGACACCAAAGCTGGTGACGTCCCCCGCCCAACAACCCCTGCCTTCCCGTGGCTGCCAGGTGTGCTGCGCCCTCAAGCCCGCAGGAAGAGGCCTGTTTGTACATCCAGCATGGTCAAAACCGAGCCCTTGATTCCCAGCCCAGTCCTGCCGGCCTCCACGCAGCCCCGGGAAGTCTTCCTTCTCCCACCTTTGTGTCCCCTTGGATACCAGGTCTGCCTGTTGCTTCTAAATCTAGAGCCCACCAGTGCCTTCCACCTACCCGGAAGCCCCCACTGACCCCCTCCCTGCTCTCCCTGTCCGCGCTCTCACCCACAACCTCCAACCTGTTCATGTCATCCCCGGGTTACCAGTCCAGCCCACAAGGGCCCTCACAGCCTGGTCTTTGCTGGCCTCTCCAGATGTACAGAACTGTGTTTTCTCAGCACATCTCAACCTCCAGGCCTTTGTTCCTGCCGTTCCCTCTACCAGGAACACCCTTCCTCTTTGTTCCCATCCCTCGAGCCTACTCTTCTGGCCTGTGCAACTTCTGCTTGTCCTTCAGGTCTCAGTTTAGATGTCCCCCCTCCACTGTCCCAAGTCACAGCCGGTCTATGCCTCCTCACGCCTATAGCCCTTTGCGTCCCCGGTGACACACTGGGAATGGGGCCTGTTTAACCTGTCAGGCTCTCTTATCAGCTTGTGGGGGCAAGTTTCCTGGTGGAAAGAGGGGAGAAGAATAGGAGGCCTTCAAGGCCGGTATAAAGAACTTGAACTTGCCCCGGGGGTGACAGGGAGCTTTTGAGCAGAGGAATGGCACGACTCAGAACCCCTCTGGTTTATGACTCTCTTTGCTGCCCCAAATAAACTTTCTCCAAACGCAACTGGTCTCACCTGCAAGTGTTTTTCATGTAACCGTCAGCAGCCAGGAACTTAGTCAGACTGAGGAAGGGTATGTGTGGGACCAGAGTTGGCAGGATGGGATTCAGCGGGGGCAGGGGAAGTCATTGTGATATGTATTAAAATCCAGATTTCTCAAGGGAATGGTGCATTGATCCTCAAAAAAAGAAATGTGTGCCCCCCTACTCAAAAACCTCTGGCTGCTTTTTACCTGTTGTAGCCTGAGTGGGTAGACCTCGTCTACCTTGTGACAACAGCCTGACTGATGCACTAGTCCAGATGCCTCCCCCAACCTGTTCTCCTGTGTCCCGGTGGGTGCTCCGCGACCTGTGCCAAGCAGCCCAGAAGGTGATCTTCCCTAGCTGGAGCGGGAGGAAAGAGCCCAGGCAGGCCATAAAGGGGTGAGGTGCTGGCGCTGGGAAGCTTGCATCTCACGTCCAAGGGTCAGGGCTCTGGCCCTGCCGGACTCTGCTCTGCCTTGTACAAGGGCCAAGACTGGGCAGCACGGACAAAGGGACTTCCCTCAGCCCTAGTCAGAGGCCTCTGGGGCCTGAGATCTGTTCTCGGCTGGATCCCCTTATGCCTCAGGACTCCTCTGACTCCAGGTCTCTGCCGTCGGAGTCCGCCCACTCTTCTGGTCAGGGAGGACAACACCTGTGCAGAACTAAGCGGAGCTGTGGTGCCTAAAGGGCCTGGGTTCAAGTCCAGCAGTCACCGTTCTCACACTTTCTCAGTCTTTCACTCACTCACCAAGCATCCTCTGATTCCAAGTCCTGACTGATCCAACTATGGGAGATGCAGAGTGCGGTCAGGCTGATTTCCACACTCAGAGCTTCTCAGAGCAGGACAGAAACACTGACACTGACAATGCTAGCTTAGAGTGGGCTATGCTGTAATGGACACAGATAGGGCCAGGACCAGAGAAGGCAGGGAAGACTTCCTAGAGGAGGACGGTCCTCTGGGGAGCTTGAGGTATGAACTGGAACTCGCCATGAAGCAAGTGGGAAGAGGGAGAAGTTTGGGCAAAGGCCCCCTAGATGGGCAGTAGGTGATATGTCAAAGGAGTCATGGAGGGGCTGATGCTTTAAGGGACATGACCACCCATCAGCCTGGTTTGGGTTAAAGTCTCTTAGCAGGGGTGAAGGAGGCTGCCTTGTTGGGACGTGGCCACCCCTCAGGTTGGCCCCCAGCCCAGAAGACCCAGGACCTGCCTCCGAGCTCCCCCTGGGCCTTCCTGCCCTTCTGCTTCTGCTGCCACTGCCAGATCTTGGTGGGAAGTGTCTCTGCCCAGAACTGCTGTCGGGCCTTCCTTAGCTTCTGGCTGACCCGTGGCACCAGGCTGATTTCCAGGTATTGCTCTCAACAGTTGAATGGGGGCCAAGGAGGCAGCCCCTTGCCATTGGGATCCCTGGCTGGGAGGAATGAATGAAGACAAAGGTCTCCTGTATTGCTCCCTGGGAGGCAGATCTGAGTAGTCTAGGCCAAAAGCCAGGCATGCCTCTTTGCTTACTCACCCTGTCCAGGAGAAGTGGGTCCACTGGGCCATCATGGTGAGGCTCAGCTCCTGCTCCTCCCCTGTGGCTTCTGGAAAGGTTATGAGAGGGACAGACCTGGATCAAGGTCACGTGGGTCCTGGAGGAGACTCAAGGGTCCCCTCTGATGACCTGAGACCTCTGTTCCTGCATGCCCCGCCCTACCCTGGTGGAGCCGGCAGCCTAAGGATCTTGTGTCTGTTCATCCTCACCCGGCATGGAGCTCTCATCCATGAGGAAAGGACCCCCGAAGATGAAGGTCTTCTCAGCCCCATGATCAGCCCGCACCCAGGCCGGCTTGATCTTCGCAAAAGAACTGGGTCGATGCTGGAACTCATAGAAAAAGATGGAGACCCCAGAATCTGTGGAGAGATGGCTGGATGAGAAGTAGATACCCACAGCCTGATCAGGTCCTATCTTTGGTAAGCCAGGCTCATCATAACACCAATACAAGTAATAATAATGATGATGACAAAATGATGAACAGCAAGCCTTTACTGAGTGCTTGCTAGGTGTTGAGCACCATTCCATGTACTTTATGTGTCATTGTTCATTTTATCCTCATAAAAACCTATGGATTAGCTCATTACATATTATTATTGCCATTTTACAAATGAGGAGACTGAGGCACAGAAGGGTTAGGTATCTGCCGGAGGTCACAAAGACAGGAACCTGGAGCTGTTCTAGGACTGTGTTAGAGATTAGCCATGAGGTTTGGAGGAAGCAAGACTTTTCTCCCAGGAGAAGGGCTGAAAGCAGAAGAAATCACTCATGAGTCAATTGAATCCCTGAGAATTGGTGATAAGTCCTGCTGGGTGACCTTTGGCAAGTCACTGCACCTCTCTGTGCCTTGGTTTTCTCCTCTGCAGAGTGCCCTGCCAGAGTCGCCTCTCATTGCTGTGACACTGCATCCCTGAGATGAAGTGGAGAGTGGGGGTAGCAGTGGAGCGTGGCACCATGTCACTTGTGATAACTCAGCTCCTGGGCCCAGGTGGGAAAGGTGGGACAGGTAGACAGGGATAGGCTTACCTTGGAGGTTTCTGGAAAAATTCAATGTTCATGACAACGTTGCTTATCAATTCCTGGAAGGCTTCTCATTTGGCTTGTCCATCTGAGCTGCTGTGTAGGTATTCATCTATAATGGTGGCATCACCTCAGTGGGCACATCCTGGGGCAAGAGGCCTGCTCAGGTCCCACAGCCACAGCAGACCCTCCCAAGAAGCTCCACACCCTCCTGCCTGGCCTGTCTCATGTTCCAGGGCTCATGTGCCAGGAGCTAGCCACTTGCTGTCCTTGGGGGTTCTAGATGGTGTCTGGGAGGGATAAGGTCAGATCTGGAGTAAAATACTAGCTCTGCAATCACTGCTTGGCTGTGTGACCTCAGACAGGTCGCTGAGCCTCTCTGAAAGGTAGCTCCTCCCTGGAAGGTTGTTTGGCAGCCTATGTGAAGTACAGCATTCTGGCCTGGAGCACGTGCTCAGTTGAAGTTAACCAGGAAGTTAGTGAGAGAACAAATCATGGGCACTCCCCATGGCTCCAGAGAGCAGTGATGAGGTTGTGTGAATGAGGAGGGCTCTGGGGGGTCTCAAAGAAGGGAAATGAACATAGATTGAGCACCTCCTGGATACCAGCTCCTTGGTAGACTCTTCAAATGCAGCATCCAGTATCCTTAAACAGCTCACATGGGTGGGATGTATCATCCCCATTTACAGGTGAAGAAATGGGCTCAGAGGGGTTAGGATAACTGTGGACAAGTAGCTAGGGTTGGGATTTGACCCCAGGTCCACCTGGTTTCACATCTGACAATGCAATCTTAATAGCTGAAGCTCTGGGATCAGACAACTGGCTCAAGCTCTGCCTCTGCCCTTTACCCATCATGAGACCTGGAGCCTCAGTTCCCTCATCTGTAAAATAAGGATAATGAAAGTCCCTACTTCACAGGGTTGTAATGAGGATCAAAGGAGATGAATGCCTGTCCCAGTGCTCAGCACAACACAGTTCCTGGCAGAGAGTATGTGCTCATTAAGGGGCAGTCTAGGGCTTCCCTGGTGGCGCAGTGGTTGAGGGTCCGCCTGCCGATGCAGGGGACACGGGTTCGTGCCCCAGTCCGGGTAGATCCCACATGCCGCGGAGCAGCTGGGCCCGTGAGCCATGGCCTCTGAGCCTGCGCATCCGGAGCCTGCGCTCCGCAACGGGAGAGGCCACAACAGTGAGATGCCCGCGTACCGCAAAACAAACAAACAAACAAACAAAAAAACCAATTGTGTTTCTATACACTAGCAATGAACAATCTGAAGATGATATTAAGAAAACCATTCCATTTACAATAGCATCAAAAAGAATAGAATACTTAGGAATAAATTTAATAAGGGAAGTTCAAGACTGTACATTAAAAACTAGAAAACATAATTGAGAGAAATTAAAGAAGACCTAACTAAATGGAAAGATGTTCCATGTTCATGGGTTAGAAAACTTAATATTGTTAAAATGGTAATACTTCCCAAACTGATCTATACATTCAGTGTGATCCCTATAAGAATCTCAGCTGCTTTTTTTTTTTTTCCAGAAATGAACAAGCCGATCATAATTCACTTGGAAATGCAAGGGACCCAGAATAGCCAAACAATTATTATGGATTGATATGTGTCTCCACGTAAAATATATGTGGAGTCATAACCCCCAGTACCTCGGAATGTGACCTCATTTAAAGATAAGGCCGTTAGTCAAATAAAGATGATTACAGAGGTGGGCCCTAGTCTAATATGCCTGGTGTCCTTGTAAAAGGGAGAAATTTGGACACAGAGACAGATGGGTCAGAGGGAAGACAATGTGAAGCCAGAGGGAGAATGCCATCTATAAGCCAAGGAATGTGTGAGGCTACCAGAAACTAGGAAAGAGGCATGGATTCTCTCACACAGCACTCAGAAGGAACCAACCCTGCTAACACCTTGATTTCAGACTTGTAGCCTCTAGGATTGTGAGACAATTAACTTCTCTTGTTTAAGTCACCCAGACTGTGGTCCTTTGTTATGGCAACTCCGGCAAAATAATACAGCAACCCTGAAAAAGAAGAACAAAGCTGGGGAATTCACACTTCCCAATTTCAAAACTTACTACAAAACTCCAGTAATCAAGATAGTGTGGTAGTAGCATAAGGATAGACATAAAAATTAACAGAGTAGAACTGAAAGCCCAGAAACAAGCTCCTTCATTCATGACCAATTGATTTTCAGTAAGGGCACCAAGACAGTTCAATAAGTAAAGAATAGGTTTTTTTCAACAAACGATGCAGGGACAGCTGGATAACCACATGCAAAAGAATCCCTAATTCATACCATATACAAAAATTAACTTCAGATGAATGTAATTCATTCATGTAACAGTTAAAACTATAAAATTCTTAGAAGAAATCATAGAGGTAAATCTTTATGACCTTGGATTAAGCAATCATTTTTTAGATATGACACAAAAAGGCCAAGCAACAAAAGAAAAAATAAATTAAACCTCATCAAAATAAAGAATTCTTGTGTTGCAAAGGTTACTGTCAGCAAAGTGAAAAGACAACCCACAGAATGGGAAAAATAGTTGCAAATCATATATTGGATAAGAGACTTGTATCTAGAATACACGTAAATCTTTACCACTAAACAATAAAAAGGCAAATAATCCAAATGGTCAAAAGATTTCAGAAGACATTTCTCCAAAGGAGATATAAAAAGGGCCAATAAGCGCATGAAAAGATGTTCACTATTTTAGTCACTAGGGAAGTGCAACTCAAAACCACAATGAGGTACCACTTCACACCCACTGGGATGACTACCATCAAAACAAAAGATATTAACAAGAATTGGCAAGGATGTGGAGTGATTGAAATCCTCACACACTGCTGGTGGGAACGTAAAATGGTGCAGCTACTTTGGAAAACAGTTCAGCAGTTCCTGAAATGATGAAACAAAGAGTTGCTATATGACCCAGAGTTTCCATTCCTAAGTATATAACCAAGAGAAATTAAGTCATATGTTTGCACAAAAACTGGTACATAAATGTTCTTAGTAGGGGAATCCATAAGAGCCAAAAATGTGGAAACAACCCAACTGTCTATCAACTGATGGATGGATAAACAAAATGTGGTATATCCATACAGTAGGCTATTCAGCCACAGAAAGGAATGAAGTACTGGTATCTGTTACAACATACATGAACCTTGAAAACATTATATTAGATG